CATATTGTTTTCCAAAATAGTTGTACCATTTTGCCCAGCAGTGCATAAGTGTTCCAATTTCCCTATAACCACTCCAACATTTGTTATTTTCTGTTTTTTTATTAGTGTTAGCAATGTCGATGTGAGAAGGTGTCTCAATGTAGTTTTGACTTGCATTTCTCTAATAGCTAGTGATTGAGAGCATTTCCTCACCTGTCTGTTAGCCGCCTCAATGTCTTCTTTGGTGAAGTGTCTGTTCATATCCTTTGCCCATTTTTTAATTGAATTATTTGTCTGTTTATTGTAGGGGTGTTGGTTTTTCCTACAGATTTTAGAGATTAGAACTTTGTTGGAGATATCATAGCCAAAAATTCTTCCCAGTCTGTAGGTTCTCTTTTTACCGTTTTGGTTAAGTCTTTTTATAAGCGTAAGTGTTTAATTCTTAGGAGATCTTCCTTATCTAGCTTATCTGCTGGTGTTTGTGTATTGCTAATTATGGCTTGTATGCTGTTTATGCTGTATATTATTGCCCCTAGCACTGACTCTATTTTTTCTTCCATGATCTTTATAGCTTTTGGTTTTATATTTAGGTCTTTGATCCACTTTGAATTAGTTTTTATGTATAGTATGAGGTATGGGTCCTTGTTTCCTTTTTTTTTATAGACAGACATCCAGTTTTGCCTGCACCATTTGTTGAAAATATTGTCTTTTCCCCATTTAATGAACTTTGGCCTTTGTCAAAGATCAGGTGGCCAGAGGTAGATGAATTTACATCTAGGTTCTTGAATCTATTCCACTGGTCAAGATACCTGTCGTTCTACCAGTACCAGAGTGTTTTGACTGCCATAGCTGTATGGTAGTTTCTAAGGTCAAGTAGTGTGAGGCCTCCTACTTTGTTCTTTTTCTTCAATAATGCTATACTTACCCAGGGCCTCTTTCCATATAAAGCTAATGATTTGTTTTTCCATCTAGCTCAATGCCTAGGATATTTTCTTTATGCGTTCCATTTCATTTTTGATGGCTTCCAATTTTCCTGGATGCATACTTTGTATATTCCGTGTTCTGATTATTTATGGGTGTCTTCCAACCCAAGGGGCTCATCTTCTGGCACTTTATCAAAGGACGCTATCTATAAGGTTTTCACTGGCCAGTTTTTTCAGAAGTAGACCACCAGTCTCAAAGCTTAGTCTTAGTCTCAAAGCTCTGCTCAAACCTGTCCACCATAAGTGACCCTGTTGATATATGAAATACCAGTGGCATAGCTTCCAGCATCACAGGAATACACAATTTACTGCAGTATGACACAGTCCGGTGGAAACTATACTTACTCAAAGAGATACAAACCCAAAAGCTAGCAAAGCACAGCCATGCATCGCTTAATATCCATGATACGTTCTGTGAAATAGAACATTATGTGATTTGGACATAGTGCGAACATGAGATTGGATGCTGCTGCCTCCCAGTCGAAGCATACACTATTATGCGGTAAATCTTTTATTTGTAAGTTAGGAAAGTTCACATTAAAATAACGATAGAAAGTACAGTACAGTGCATACATAGCTAGTAACATAGACGTTTATTATGACTATCAAGATGTATGTATTATAGATTATATATGTACTGTAACATATTGTAACAATTGCTTTGTATGAAAGAGGCTTTAGATACACGTGTTGCATGCAGGAAGCTGTTGCGTTTGCAACCTCCGGTTACTTCCGCTAAGTCCCATTCTCCAGTAGGGATTTCTGAACTCTATTTCATTAACCTTATGGGACCTCTGATGTATATGCGGTTGGACATTGACCAAACATATATTATGTGGTGCATAACTATATAGTAGTATTGGTCAGAATTAGAAGTGAACTTGGTGGCACAGTGGTTAAGTGATATGGTTGCTAACCAAAGAGTTGGCAGTTCAGATCCACCAGCCTCTCCTTGGAAATCCTATGGGGCAGTTCTGCTCTGTTCTCTAGCGTCGTTATGGGTTGGAATCGACTGGAAGGCAACGGGTTTGGTTTGGTTTGGTTTTTTTGTTTTTTTGTTTCTTTGGTAACCTAGAGCTGAGGCCGAAAAGGTTGTCAAATGTTGTATGGGAAGGGCCATATCGGATTTTATTTTATTTCTAGATAAGTGGGGGAAGGAGAATCTACACAGACATAGAACAACTGTCCTTTTAAAGAAGATAGGGAGAGAGGAGTGTTCGGGTTTGTGTTTTCCATTCAACTTAGTCTAGAAAGTTATTTTAAGGATTGGAAAAAAAGGAAATTATTTAACCATAGATCGATTAATAAAACTGACTTTTTGTTTAAAAGTAGAATGACCAATTCATTCCAATTTTCCAGGAACTTTCATAGTTTTAACAGTAAAATCCTGCATCCCAGGAAACCCTTCAGTCCCAAGGGAAACTTGTTGATTGAAATGGAAAAATAAAATTTAGGTGTTCATTGTCCAAAATTTTCAAAGTACAAATAAGCACATAAAAGAAATAAATCATCCACACTTCCACCATGCAAAGATAGCCGTGTTAATGTTAGTGAATGTATTTCAAATATTATCTCTATGGAATAGACTTATAACAATGCAAATTACTATCATTACAAATGGCAAGTGCCAGGGTAGTATCATTTCAACATTTTCTTTTAAAATTCTGAATAAACTCTTTCAAAAGTATGTCACTTTAGTATGTGTACCTTTTCATGTGATTGCATCATTCTATAAACTCTGATAAATTTTCAATTGTACAGTGACCATTTTTGCTATTCATTCTACAAATTCCTTTAAGCTTATATTTTTCTTTATCTCTGAAACGCAGTATCAGCCGGTACATTAGTGACATGCTTTCTGATAACTGTATCACAGTGTAATCTCACTGCTCAAGGGTACGCAACCTTTCATTTCTTATTCCATTTCTACTTCCTCTGTAGCCAGGGAGGGAAAATTTCTACCTAGGGAGTTTAGCATCATTCACCATTGATGTTACTTGTCCAAAAACCTCCTATTCCATAAGACCATATGTCAACCACAGTTAGCACTTAAAATTTATCAATACCTACTTACATATATAAAGCTCTTTTCATTTTGTGGAGAGGTTTAACTTTCTGAGAGCATTTCATGTCCTTATTTATAGTCGGGGGAGAGTAAGAAAATGAAATAGAGTGTTCCAAACCAAATGCATTGCCAGTGAGCCAATTCCAACTTACAGCAACCCTCTAGAAAGCGTAGAACTGCCCCATTGGGTTTCCAAGGCTGTAATCTTTTTTTGTGTGTATGTGTGTGTGTGTGTGTGTGCTTTAGATGAAGATTTATAGACAATTAAACAACTAATACACACATTGTTTGTGACATTGGTTGCCAACCCTACGACATGTCAACATGACCTTGAGTTTCCCATTACCATCTTTCCTGTCCCCTTGTGCTTTCTCGTCCTTGCCTCTGGGCTGGTGGGCCCATTTAGCCTCGTTTTGTTTTATGAGCCTGTTTAATCCCCTGCTGAAGGGTGAACCTCAAGGAGCGACTTCAGTACTGAGTTAAAAGGGTGTCCAGAGGCCATACTCTCAGGGTTTCTCCAGTCTCTGTCAAACCAGTAAGTCTAGTCTTTTTTTGTGAGTCAAAATTTTGTTCTACATTCTTCTCCAGTTCTGTCCAGGACCCTTCATTGTGATCCCTGTCAGAGCAGCTGGTGGTGGTAGCTGGGCACCATCTGGTTGTGTTGAACTCAGTCTAGTTGAGGTTGTGGTAGTTGTGGTCCATAAGTCCTTCGGACTAATCTTTCCTTTGTGTCTTTGGTTTTCTTCATTCTGCCTTGCTCCAGATGGGGTGGCACCAGTGGAATATCTTAGATGGCTGCTCACAAGCTTTTAAGACCCCAGATGCTACTCACCAAAGTAGGATGTAGAACATTTTCTTTATAAACTATGTTATGCCAGTTGAGCTAGATGTTCCCTGAGACCACGGTCCCCAGTACTCAGCCCAGTAGTTTGATCTCTAAGGGTGTTTGGATGTGTCTATGAAGCTTCCAACACTTTCCAAGGCAGTAATCTTTGAGAAAGCAGACTACCATATCTTTCTCCTGTGGAGCAGCTGGTGGGTTTGAACTGCTGACCTTTCCTTAGCAGCTGAGTGCTTAACCACTGAGCCACTAACCAAAGCCATTGCCATCGAGTCAATTCGACTCATAGCAACTGTCATGGATTGAATTGTCTCCCCCCAAACTATGTATCAACTTGGCTAGTCCATGATTCCCAGTATTGTGTGATTGTCCGCTATTTTGTCATCTGATATGATTTTCCTATGTGTTGTAAATCTTACCTCTATGATGTTAATGAGACAGGATTAGTGGCAGTTATGTTAATGAGGCAGGACTCAATCTACAAGATTAGGTTGTGTTTTAAGTCAACCTCTTTTGAGATATAAAAGAGAGAAGCGAGCAGAGAGAGATGGGGAACCTCATACCACCAAGAAACAAGAGCCAGGAGAAGAGCAAATCCTTTGGACTCAGAGTCTGTGAACTGAGAAGCTCCTTGACCAGGGAAGATTGATGACAAGGACCTTCCCCCAGAGCCTACGGACAGAGAAAGCGTTTCCCTGGAGCTGGCACACTGAATTTGGAATTCTAGCCTCCTAGACTGTGAGAGAATAAATCTCTCTTTGTTAAAGCCATTCACTGGTGGTATTTCTGTTATAGCAGCACTAGATAACTAAGACAGCGATCCCATAGAACAGAGTAGAAATGCCCTGTATGGTTTCCAAGGAGGGGCTGGTGGATTCGAACTGCTGACCTTTTGGTTAGCAGCTGAGCTATTAATCACTGCACCACCAGAGCTCCTAAAATGGAGTGTTAGAAAAGAAATATATCTTTTATCTATCCAAAAATGTTCACACTTGGTTGAGGTTGTATTTCAGGATTATTATGATCCAGACAGTACCTCTCTTACTGAAGAAGTACTTACCATCCATGTTTGAAGTTACCCTGTTCTTGCCAATAACACACACAGTAATGACCCCTTCTGTTTTACTTCCAGCTACACTGTGCCGGATGGCAGCCCTACAGTTGCTTGTATGATTGAAATGACTGCAGATGGAAATCCTCCTATACAGAAGCAAGACACAGAAGCATTCCATGCTTCTCAGGTAGGCATGCAAATATCCAGTTTCAAACATTGTTAATTGTACTAATGATATTTCAAATAAGTATTTGTTTTTGTTATTAAGTGCTACTATTTCTTTATTGAACACATTCCTTGTAAAATTCTGAAGAAAACACCAGAAAATTAATCTCTAATACTTTAGGCATTATTAAATACACTTACTGTTGCTTATCACTATTAAAGTTTTATTAAATTTAGCAATAAATTGATTTTCCTATCACACTGTGGCTATAATATATTGTACTTATTAAAAAAAAAAAAAGCCCAGGAATGGGAAAAGACTAGAAGATACAACATAGTGCTGAAAATCTTAGCTTTTATAAGATATGATAGTGATTGTACTGCACTCTTAAAAAGCCCATTCTCCGTTTTCTGGGTTTGCAGTAGCCAGCAAATTTTTCTTAGAAACTTTGAATGAAGTTAAATTGAAAGAAGATAGGAAGTCTCTTCCTCCAGAGACCAGACAACTTGCTAAATTCTTTTAGTTTTAATAATGTGGTTGGTTACATGCTTCTTAGTATGACTTTCTAGCAATATATTTAAGATAAAGAATTCCTGGTTCATTTCATCATCATAGAGAGATAATCTGTATAATTAGAGCTCCAAAGTGCTAATTTTGGTACACATTAAAGCTAGCAGTGTGCACTCCCCAATGAATTGGAAATTTCATTTTATTATCTTTGTTTCTATGTAGTCTCTTGTAGAGTATATATAGGCATCCGAAACAAGCACATAAGAACATGTAATATTTTCACAAGCACATTACATTTTCCAAATTATATCTGTAAACATTATCTCATTTGATCCTTGCAAAAATCTTCCAAAGTAAGAGTGATTATCCCCTTTCTATGGCTGAGGACACTGAGTATCAGACTCATCCAAATTTCAAAATGATGAGGAGGGAGACTTGATCCCAAGTTTTCTGATTCCCAGTCTTTTGGTTTTTCCTTTACAACATGCAATCTCTCTACTACTCTTCATTTGCTACAACAGTGGTTGGAATGGATTGTTAAAGTAGGAATAAATCTTTTTTCATGTTAAAAAAAAGTCATGTAGAGCCCAAGTTGGCCAAATATTTAGATTTAAGACATGGATTATTCAATGATGGACAAATATATGAAACATTCATAGTGAAAAATTCAATGTAAAGCATTTAATGTGATGACATCTTTATTAACTTCTTATGGCCATTCATTTTCTTTGCATTAAAAGCTTAATATTTTCCTATAAATAACATACAATGTGCTATTAATTTATAGACATTAATGAATCACATCTTTACTAAATCAAATTCAACACGTGCTCAATAATTGACTTTTTGTTGTTGAAAATAATAAACATATCTTATAATCATAGCCCTTTAGACGGCCTGAATGAAATCCTGATCAGTGCTTAGCAAATGCCTCAAGTAACACACAAGCACACAAGAGTTACATTTTAACACATGGGAATAGAATTTTTTAGTTTAAGTTAAGAAGTATTTGGATAAATTCAAGATAGTGAAGAGAGAATGCACTCATGATTACTGGAAGGTTCTCTAAAGGTCCAGCAGCTGTTCGGTGCTAACACTGTGGACACATGCATATGCTTTTATAACTCTCTCCCTCCTCATGTTCAGCCAAACTCAAGTGCTTCAAAGTCTGAGAGAATCACAGCTGCCTTGTAATATGAGTTAACCCCAAGACTCAGTTCAGTCATTCTTGTGGAGGCTACATGTGGTGGGATTCTACCAGACTGGACCCAACTCATGGGTATTTCATAGTCTCCTGGGGCCAGCCTAGGTATCTCATGCCATCTCCCATCCGAGATAAATTCTGGCAACATCTTGTCTGTAAAAGGATACTTAGCAATGATTTCCAGTTGCTCATTGGGAATTTGACCTTTTGCTATTCCTTTTCCTTTATTATTATAATAGAGGGATGGTGGAAGTTTGAGGAATAAAGCATATAAGCACCAAGGATTTCATGAAGTTGAAACCATTTAATTTTAAGAGTCATGGGCTTTGGGCACAAACAACCAAAAAAAGTTTCTAGCCTTACCTCTGTTAATTATTTATTATAGTCTATTAGGGATTGTTAAGTATATACAAAGTATTATTATGTACAAAATGATATTTTTGCATTTATAAACCCATAGCAAAGCCAGACCAAAACAAAGGGGATTAAATCTCAAATGCAGTATTATGATTAGAGAGAATTCTTTTCTTTTCCATCATTTGATAATTTTCAAAGTAAAGAGTAGAAATCTATTCTTAATGCTAGGAATAATAATAGCTAACATACAGAGTGCTAACTATGCCTCCAATACTGTTCTGAGAACATCTCATATTTTAATCCATTTAATTCTTTCAAAAATGGATAACTACCTATAAGGTAAATTCTATTACCTCCATAATACAGATTAAGAAAGTTAAGGCACAGAGAGGTTGAGTTTCTTTCCCAAGGTCACACAACTATTCTGGGGTGCAAACGCAGACAGTTTGGCTCAAGAGCCCATGCTTTTAACCTAAGTTATGCTGCCTCACAGTATTTAATATGGTTTTTACCTTTATCCCCTTCTATTGCAACTATTGCCTCTTTCCTAAAACTTACACTTTGTTGCATGCTATCATTTTCTCAGTATTTTAATTTCTTTATGACTTACTTCCGCTTACATTTAATTACCTTATAAACAAGAATAATCCACATTTTTCTTCCACATTTCTTGTCCCTAGATCAATGTGCCCACAGGGTAGCAACTTGGTTCATTGATTGCTTCACTAAAGTTCAGTTTTGCTTTCCTACAAGATGGTAAGATACTATTTTTAGAACATTTCCTAGTCAGAAAGCCTTGAGAATCAAATATATAACAGCTAGATATGGGACCAATGAGGACTTCGTGATATTCATCAAATTAAAAAAAAAGAAAACCTCGTTGTGTGTACTTCTTCATAGTAATCACTAAGTAATGCAAGAACTTCAATATAAGTGCTCCCCTGCTCTATACCACGAGTATTAAATACATAGAGGTATATTAAAATTAAGCTGTATTGATATTCCTTCTTGGATTGTATCCACTGAGGAGATTCCATATGCTGAATCGGGCAAAATAACAAGGTTCCAAGAGAGTATAAAGCAAAAGAAAAGTCTAAAGACAAGTAGGATACTGAAGAAAACCAAGATTGAGTTCCACGAATCTGGTCATTTATAACAAACTTGTGTTAAGCTCCTATTTATGAGGCACTGCTATGGATTCTGGGACAATTGAAAATGACAGGGTGGAGTCCCTGCCATAAAAAGGATATAATTTAACATCAAAGAGACTGTACTCCCACAGATTGTCATACTACAGGACAAAGCAAAGAGGTGGGGGGAGAGAGAGAGAGAAAGAAATAGAGAGGCAGACAGAGACAGAGAAAGAGAGAGAAGTCTTTTAACTGCATGTGGATGGAGGTTTAGATAAATACTGCTGCCTTTAGATCCCCTTTTATTTACTGTCTGTAAACAGTTTTTGAGAATTTAAGCCTTAATTCACACGTAAAGGTTAATTTCAATAAATTCCTCTTCCCAAACATTTTATCCGACATCTCTTATCTATGTTTATTCCAAGACTTAACTTCCGGTTTTGAATTTGTCTGCATACGGTTCAAACCAAAAACCTGTTGCCATCAAGTCAACACAAAAGTTTGATAATGACACTTAAAAGTCAGTGTATTTCATTTGTAAATCAGTCATATTCCTGGGTGAAGGTAAGTACTCTCTGATAATTTATTTTAACCAAAAAGTGTATTTGCAGTTACCTACCAATATTTTACTAACACAAAAGTCTTTTAACTTCACACAGACTTGAGGATATAAAACTATACATTGAATCAATACATCATTACAGAAATGTATGTAGTACTCCACCAACTAAATTTAAATTAAAACACGACAAAATAAGAAATAGAGCAGCTTCTTATCTCCTGTGATTTTTAGAAGTTTTCTTTCCCTTTGCACATCTTCTTATTTTATTCCCACATATTATAAAAGATCAACTATATTCTTCCTTTAAAGAGAAACTCAGAGGAAAGGGAATGTTCATTCACGCTTGTCAGATGTGGAATCCTTTTCCCCCTATTCCCATTCATATGTTTCATTATCCTGTTGATTTCTCCTTGATTGTTCATGTCTGTTCTCTGTGGTTTTATCTTGTAAGATCATATCTTGATTTTAGACTCTATTCTCTATAGTCTGATTCACAAGGAGTTATTAGAAAAGACTTATTTTAAAGACCTGTCTCCTTAGAAATGATTACACACACAGAAGGCAGCTCTAGGATAATTAAGAGTCTGGGGATAGAGTAAGTCAACCATTTTAACAGTTATCTATGTGCAGTCAACAGCAGCTGCTTTTTTAGACATTTCAGGACTCCAACTAAGCTTGGGCCTCAGATTAGAAGAAATACAAGAGCCATCTACTTCCATTGTTTGGATGTTTTTTAATGGTCTAATAAATCATAGATAGCTCTATAGACTTTCCCTCAGATCTGCCTACTGCTGACAGAAGAGGAAGGTGTTCTTCCATCCTTTATCAGTTTTGTGCTAAAACATCACGCTTGTCAAAGCAGCGAGAAGTTTGCTGTACCAGGTTTGTGATCAATGCATAAAGACACCAGAGATCCTCTGGACAGGAAGGTCATGGCAAGGCCTTGGATTCGCCAAGCCTGCAGACTTAGGATAGCTCCCAGTTGCTCTTAGTGGTGGGTCACTTATCTTAGCTGATAAAAGAGCTCTGCTGGTAGTTTGTTAGAGTAGTTAATATAAACTGACTTAGCATATAAGAAAGAAAGGATGTGAAAACAAATGAACACACTCGTGTTCTGCGTGAGGGCTCTATTAATACACCTTGGAACTTTTAGCTGCCTTCCATATCACTACTCCTGAAAGTGGTCACCTTCTGGGATTAAGATATTAAGTATTCAGGAACAAAATGTAAGAAACGCTCTTAGGAACACAGTCTGAGTCATTTAAAAAGAACGAGAGCTGAAATACAGAATTAGCTTGAACTGGTGGGGGTCATGGAGATGTTTTGATGTTCCTAGAATCAAATAGGCTTCTGTTCTCTAAAAGCACATTCACATCAAACCAGTACCTATTAGTATAAATGCTAAGTGTTATTATTAGGCATCTCGCCTCCTCTCCTCCTCCTAGACTTAATAATTTGGCTTAATTTTTGAATTCTTGAAAGGATGGCTATTTTATTTTATCTGTGCTGCCAATTTAACTACTTTGGAAGCATCAGCTTGTGGGGTATGAGAGTAATCTAGGGGTGGAGACATTAGTGATATAATCCACACAAATGTTGCTGCATCTCCCTGTCATATGTCTACCAGCCCTTAGGAGTGGGGTCTCATTACAAGTTAATCTAGACTTCAATAGTAGCTCATGAATTCCTATTGAGGGGAATTGCATTTTATATATATCTAAATTATGAGAAATCAATTATATACATTGCTGAGGGGTGGGTAAATTATGCGTGTAATTTTATCATCATTCTGACCAATGAGCATAAACTCAGCAATAAGCATAAGCTCAGCAATGAGCGTAAGATGTGAGAAGTGACTTGGCTATTGTCTCAGTTGGTGTCAGTTCTCTCCTGACTCCCATGGTGGTACATTTCACCACTCAGAGGATGATTCTGGGGTTTTTACACAACGTGACCTCTAAGTGTATGTTTCATCTGGTGCCTCACTGACAAAGTAACACTCTATCCCAAAATTAGTGAAAAAAATGTAGCTGTGTAGGAATTATTGGGAGCTAACACACTAGTCTCCAACGTGATGCCTGAAGGATTTCCAAAGGCAATTTAGATTCTATGAAAGGTTCAGCTCATGTCCAGACTATAGAACTAACTCCTGTGTAAGATGTGGCTCTGATGTATTGTCCAAATGAAGGTAGATCAAGGGCCCAATTTTACAGAGAGCTCCTTTTTTCTATTAATTGTCTATAAATGGGCTGGTTGCCTTTGAGACGGCCTGGCTTCTTTATGTCTTGTCAAAACAGGAGCACTTCCTTGATCTGGTTTTTGGGATAAAGGGTGAATAAAGGGACTGAATATAATCTAACTTCTACTTCTGACGCATGTTTGTCTCCATCTTTTAGGGGAAACAGAATAGATGTTAAAAATGTAACATTTGTAATTTTCTAATATGCAAGCACTGTAAATTTTGCTCCTATTTTAGAATATTTAAAATATAATACAATTAATTAACATGGCTTCACTTTATTTATCAGTTATATATTTGGTAGTGTGCACATCGAAATGCAAACACTTGAACTTAAAGATACATTTCAAAGTAATCAATCATTAAGTTTTGTTGAGTGTTCACTTTTTGTGCTAAATTACATTAGATACTGTGAGAGATGCAAGAGAAATGTAAAACAAGTGCCCTTTTCTAAAGTAGTTTACCTTACCACCTGGGAGAAGTGACAAAAGTAGCCAACAATTGCAGCTTGTTTACATAGAAAAACACATTAAAACTTGCAATCACAGAACAAAATATCCTAGGTCTTCCCCACAATCTGACAACACTTTATAATAAGATTTTTTGTTACGTTTCCTATAGGCATATTTTGATTCAACGTTTCTTGGCCATATCCCTGCAAACATGAAGATCCGTAAGAATGAGGGCCATATTTATGGGTTCAAAGGCTGTATTCGAGAGCTTCAAGTAAACAACAAAGAATTCATCACTGATGAAGCTCTGTGTGGAAAGAACATTGAGAACTGCCATGTCCCTGGGTGTGCTCATCATCCATGCCACAACAACGGCATCTGCACCAGGTTAGTATCAGCCTCTTGATCCCCAATCTATATTGCTGTTGTTGTTGTTGTTAGCTGCTGTCAAGACAATTCCAACTCATGGAGACCCCATGTGTGCAGAGTAGAACTGCTCCATAGGGTTTTCAAGGCTGTGACCTTTCGAAAGCAAATCACCAGGCCTGTCTTCCAATGCTCCCCTGGGTGGGTTTGAACCATAAACTTTTCAGCTACTAGTTGAGCACTTAACCATTTGCACCACATATGTTACATGACTCCAAATTCTTAAAACAATGAAAAGCAGCAGCATTGTCATATGGGTGATGGAAAAGAAAGGTCTGGAATCCCCAGGTCTTTTTACATATCACCTAGATGATACACATAATGTGGAGGATACTTGTTTGCTCACAGAAATTTATATATTATAGCAGTGAAAAGAGATCCCCATCTTCTGCAAATAACTTGGTTTAAGTGGACCTGGCTTTAGCTGTTTCAAATGAATACAAGTTTAAGTTTACCCAGGTGTTCCTGCTTTTTAGAAACATGAAGGAGAGATTGTCTGTTAACAATTATTTTGATATAGTTATTATTTATGTTTGTTTTTGCTTCACCTTCAAAAAGCAGATCTGATTAAGTCTTTAAGATTAAAAATGGGGAAAAAAAACCTATATCTATTTCTTCTTTTTATTAGCAATTTTATATACTTTTTTTCTCCTTGAAGATTCACATTCTTATAAGCTTAAGAAGATCTTAATTAAAATTACTTTCCGCTCCACTAAAATGTCTTAAGTGAAATGATCCCGAGGGAGTCTCGTCTGGACAGTGTAGGACATATTCCCAAATTTCTTCATTCCTCCGAGTAATCATTATTTTAAGGCTGCAAATAATGCCAGAATGGAAGCTGAAGCATATACAGATGTATTTGTAATAATTTAAGTATAAAAATTGACCAAATCTCACAGGAAATGTCTTAATTAATTCACCGCAGTGTCTCCAAGGTGCAAGCCATCAAGTAGTTAATGACCCCAGGAAAGTAAACATCTACCTACATAGTGTGGAAATGAGAAAAATTCTATCAAAAAAGCAGAACAGGAAATAGCAGTCAGAGATGAGCTCTAAAAGTAATCACTGGAATAGAGGTAAAAAAGAGAGAACTAAATGGCAAAGACAAGGAACAGAGGAATGGACAGGCGTGATAAAGTCAAGGTGATATATTCACCAGACAACCACAGACCGACAGTAATAAATTTGAAGACAAACCATGGTTTAGTGGAAAAGAACAAAACCACACTTAGAGTCTCTGAGAGCTGACTTCACCTTTGCTTTTGATTCACTGTGTCTAAGCCTGTACCTTGATTTATACATTTGTAAAATAACAACAGCAAGACTTATTTAATATAGGGCAAGTGTAACAGATAAAGGTCTAAAGACTTTTAAAACAGAGTGAATTTTTGGGTTAAGAGTGAAGATAACTTCCTTAGCCATGGTCATTCTAAAGAAGATACAATCAAGTCTTTACTCAGTATGTATTCTGTTTTATAATGGAACTTTTAGTAGCACTGCTTTTAAAAATAAAACAATGCAAAAGTTATCCAGCAAGACAACCCTTGGAATCCTGCAGAAGGACTTGCTTTTTTTTTCGGTCTAATTAAGTGGACTAGAAACAGGAAAAACCTTTTCTACTGACTTTTCTAATGTTGGAAATATTGTGTTATTCGGTCGAAATAAATATTCTCAATGACGCTTTTCCATTGATAAAATAGTAAGAGTGACAAGATATGTGTTTCTTCCTTTCTGTATGTGGTGGACAGACTCTGGTGGTCCCTATGATCACCCCCTGCTGGTATTCACACCCTTTCATGAACCCTTCCTTTTAATTGTGGACGGGACTTGTGACTTGCTTTTAACCAATAGGATGTACCAAGGTTAATGGAATGTCACTTCCATGATTAAGTTACATAGGATTATGAACTCCATCTTGCAAGAAGACTCTCTCTTGCTGCCTTTAATGAAGCACACAGCAATTTTGGGGAGGCCCATGTGAAAAGGCACTGAAGGTGGTCTCTAGACAATAATCAGCTAAGAGCTAAGGGGGACCTATGGCCTGCAGCCAGGAAAAACAGAAGTCCACAGTACTATAAATGCAAGGAACCAAATTCTACCATCAATGATGTGAGCTTGGAAGTAGATCCTTCCCCAGTCAAATCTTGAGATGGGACCCCAGCCCTGATCAACACCTTGACTGCAGTCTATGAGACTTATGCAGAGGACCAAGCTAAGCTGTGCCCAGGCTTCCGACCCATGGAAACTGTGAGATAATAAATGTGTGTTGTTTTAAGATATTGAGGCAATCTTGTTATACAGCAGTAGAAAATCAATATACTTTAATTTTCTGCAAAGATGTCTAACATTACCAACTTAGAGAAGTAGGTGAGGTTAGTTTTACTTAAGAACATTAACTTTGTGAGATATTGTAAGTCAAGTACTTGTTAAATAAAATAAACCACTTATTTGCATAAAATTAAAGAACCTCATATTGCTTCCTATCTTAGTCATTTGATTTTATTTGAAAAGAAAAAACGAAGAGGACCATCGCAATGGGAAAGATATAGGCAATCCTATGTTTGTTTATGCTTTGTGTTCATTCTCTTAGATTTATTTAAGCAAACATTGCCTGAAAGCCAACTAAGAGGCCAGGAATATGTGAAACAAAAATGTATATTCAAGACACTAGTCCTGCACACTAGGAGTTTTCACTCTAGTGTGGAAGCTTGATCAAGCTCTTCAGGCCTTAGGGCCAATTTTTCCACCACAGATTTTGTATCCGTCATCATTCTTTCAATAAAACAGAAGCCACTATAGTTAGTTTGGGTCAGCAAAAAAGAAGAAGACCCTCAATGAGATGGATTGACACAGTGACAGGAACAATGGGCTCAAACATAGCAATGATTGTGAGGATGATGCAGGACCGGGCAGTGTTTTGTTCTGTTGTACACAGGGTTGCTATGAGTCGGAACTGACTCAAAAGCACCTAACAACAGCATAGCTACCTTGAGTAGAGAAGAGATTTCACATAAGGAATTAGAGGTTTAAACAATCCTTGAAATAGCTAGGGAAATAAAGGTCAGGGATGGTACTTTCAAAAAATGCAGAATTCAAGAATTTCAGGGAGACAGTCAACAAAGTTCCCAGGTGCGCGTATCTCTGAAGCAGGTAATTCTCAGAAGCCACCGGAAGCCATTGCCAATTACCTTGGCTGCTTCTCTGCAGCTGCCAGCAGAGAATAACAGCTTCTCCTCCTGCCTTCCAATTGCACAAATAGCTCTCTTTGGAAGATGCTAACCCAGAACCATAAGGGAAAGAGGGTTCTAGGATATGTGACTCAGAGAACATGGAAGAGGCCAAGTGATGCCCAGTTGACAACAGACAGCTTTTGAAACTGGTGAAGTAGCTCTCTGTCACACACATTAATCTGGCTTTCCATACCCATTTCTCCACCTCTTCTCCAGAGAAATACATTCCAGCCTCAACTGAGTTGGGCTGTACTGTTTAAGGTATTCCAGGCCTGTATGTGCCTTTCCATTGATAGCCAAATGGAAACTTGCCAGCTGTGTGCTCAGAGAGTAAAACATTGTTTCACATCCTGTGAACATGATTTTTATCTCCATTGCCAAGCTAAACTCCTGTAAACTACCCCTCGCATTACTGCACCCAGGACATGCTGGTCCATGACAACTATAACTTCCATTGCAGCTACCTCCCTGTGTACTCCAACACTATAATACCCTGGAAGCTGGTCAGTTCCAGAACAACAATAAAAATAGACCTCTCAGAAGGATCATAAGAACAGACTCTAGGGGGTCAAAAATTTAATACAAGAAGGAACTGATAGCCATGGGGCCACAGGGAAGATCATCAGAGTAAGAATACTGTCTTTCACTCTTCTGTATTCTGTCTAAAACACCAAGACTCTGCTATAGACAGGGAATTCCAGCAGCCTGTGCAGGAGCCCAAAACGAAAACCAGAATATGTACAGAAGGAGGACATAGACTCCCAATGAAGTCATGAGGAACTTCATACTTATTCCGTAGAGGAGAACACAATCAAAGTATGTCATAAAAAACCACCACCACCACTACCACCTCCACCAATAAACACATACCCACACTAGGAATGCACTGAGTGGTGTAGTTTTCCAATAAGCAAACCTAGAGAAACTCTGTGCTACAGCACTCCATCTGATTTTGACAAAATGAATCTGAACTGGCTTAATGCATTTGACAACTCACTTCCCATCTATGCTGTTGGCCAAAGCCAAAGATTTCTTTCCTTTCTGTGCTACCACATCAGAAAATGGGTCTCTCCAATATCTGTTTCCGAACTCTTCCAACCCTTCCGAACTTTTGGATCTGTTCTTGCTCCTGATTTGATCTCACTCCTGAGCTTAACCAGGTAGAGTCCTAATCTCTCTCCTATTTTCCCAGAAGAGGTTAGAGTTATTGGATCCAAGACAATTTTCAAAATAGCAGAGTAATTTAAATAAGATCCAAGGATCTTATTTGGATCTGAAGGGAATGGACAAGATGACCTTCTTTCTAGGCCTAAGAGGCTTATTATTTTATTGTCAAAGTAATAGAGTCTCTAAATTCAGATTAAAGAAGTCACTCGAGCGAAAACAGGAAGAAAGCCCTGTCTCAAAACATAGAGAAACTGATATTTTCATACTATAACATGTGTGAATGATGTTTTTACTTGAAAAGACAAATAACAATTTCTCATTACATTTTAATAGCTCTAGTCCAGGGATTCTCATCCAAAGGTTAAGGAATGTCTCCTAAAGAAGTATACAAGAACCTTTAGAAAGGGAGAAATTTCTCCACCTACACACACACATCCACACACACTTGAATGGGAATGCACACCCACCTGCCCCCCAAATCTAAGAATAATAGTGGTATAACAAGGGATAATCCTGAAAGGTGTATGCGCTAAGGAAGAGCAGGGTGGTAAGTCAGCAGAGGTT